TGCCGTAAAGGAGTTCTATCAATCATTACAGACACCCTCTGGAATCGAATAATTCCACGAAAGACAATTTACAAACATGAAACATTCAACGAAACATTCGCATTTGGAACTTAAGCTCGTTGTAGCGGAAGCGTGTTCGAGAAAACCCAAAGTAGGATCTGCACTCGTCGTATTGTATAGTCGGCGTGGTTTATGTACCGTGGTAATGAGATGGAGCCCGATGATGGCTCGGGAAGGAGCCTAAGCTCCGAAACTTAATTTACTCATGCTCGCTCCAAAGTGTTTCCTTCATTGTGTATTCAATAATGGCGGTGACGCGAGTCTGCCGTAACTACTCCTTTAGCGTCCTGCGGTTTCCATGGCAACGTAGGTACGCTGAGAGTAAAATGGACGATTGAAAGAAGAAGCGAACACCTGAGGAACTCGTCTTTTTAACAACGCTGTAATTTGCCTAAATCGATCCAAATTTGTCCTAGCGTTTGGTAAAAATTTTTTCGTTATTTAACACGACAAAATGGCGTCGATTAGCATTGGAAAGCTTGAAATTGCAGGAAACAGTTTATAATGGATGAAAATGTGAAATATTTTTCTAACGCAGTGGCACGTGATCGAATTGTGAAAAACAGCGCACGTGCAAACTTTACCATTCCCCAATCAATGTGGTCCCTTGTGATATTTCCCCCGATGAAACTGACATCGCTTGTCGTCGCATCACTTGTTGCATTGTCCTGGAAACAATGAGAAAGTACTGTATAAACAACTGATCGTATATACACTTGTGACACATATAGTGTACGTCGTATATGTACACCGTGCATACAGGGTGTCCTATAAATCGTGGTGCAACCGACAAGGAGAAGAATCCTTACAACAAAAATAAGTGAAATATATAAAATTAATTTTTTTCATTGCTTGCTTACTTTTTCAGGAAAATCACCATAAACGTGAAATTATTAATGCTAGAAATTTCAATTAAACGAATTCAGTGCGATACTTAATTGGTAATTTTGATCATTTATTTTAAACAATAGCATTAATCAATTACTTTCAGTAATAAATACTATGCAATTTGTCGATGTGTGCTCTTAAGAATGATCCTGGTGCACATCCTACTTGCAGCACAGTACTTAAACCTAGTCATCCGTTGGATCCTTCCATTTTGAGCATTCTTCATTCGCACATATCGTTCTACTATGATTCACAAAGTTTACCGATTTTTTTCATTACAATACAAGAATTAAATAATAATATTACCTAGCATAATTTGAACTAAAATCTCACCGTAATTAATCGGTGGTACTTTCATATTCGAAATTCTTCTCAGAAACTAGGCAAGCAATCGAAAAATTTTATTCCACATTTTTTACTTATTATTTTATTTACTTTTCACCTACTCTTTATTTACCCTTTGTCGGTTGCACTGTGATTTATCGGACATCCTGTATACATATACGTATACGACTGCGATATCTTTGCCGAGTGCATATAACCCTATGCTCAAAACTAGGCTAGTTCGACCATTGACGTTCACGGTTGGATGAAAATTCAGAGTAAGCAGTAACATAAAACTATTTTCGCTAGAATATTGCCAGAACTTCTTTTTCTACGCGTACTCTTTTCCTTTTAATTGTGTATCTTTCAGAAAAGTTTAAGAAGAATTCAGAGGGCAAATAGGAGTAAATCTTCTGCTTACGACAGGATGATGTTAAATTTATATGGAGAATTTGAGAAATATCGAAAGCAAGTGATACTGAATGATTTCAATTCTCGTAAGAAATTTGATTACCATTCTGATAATTGGTCGCAATTCCTCCAATGTGTTAAGTCCATTGTCCTGAGTGTAAAGCACAAAGAGCAACGCAAATTGAGTCAGATTAAACGGCCACGCTATGTACAGTGACATAATGTTTCTCATAGACCGTGCCAGATAAACGCTGTAAATATTAAACGTGAATTATAAAAATTTTCAAGCATTTGCAAAAATATGTTACACAATTTTCAGAAGAATTTTACACAATTTCCTATATCTAACAATTGATAGTTTGCAACTAAATTTATTCCTATACACCTTTAAGTGAGCCATTCAGAAACCAAAGTGACTAACTCCATCAAATTGAGTTTACTAAATTTTCTTTATTTATGAAAAGTTAAGCACCAGGCATGATACTAAAATTGGAAGAATTTCAAAAAGTGGAGTTGATCATTTTGGCTTCTGAGTTTTTAATGATAATTAATGAAATTATTGAAAATTAAAGAAATTGATAGAATTCGTTATAAGTACAAATGTAGTTTGAACAATTTCAAACTGTTTTAAATAAAATCTCTGTTGATAGTTAATAAACATTGAAAATATAAGATACGATCAAATTAGTCCCAATTTAGAATGATTACTGCAAGAAGTATGTGAAGCAGTTCACGATAAAAGTGAAATTTCTATACGAACGTATTTACTTATTTATTCAAACTGACCTGATTATTGTTCCTAGAATCATTAACAATATACTGAAAGCGTCGAAAGGTCCGTAGAACTTTGGTATTAGCATACACGATACCGCGCCAATTAACAGTGGATTAAACACTGTTAATCCATTTATAATATTTTCCTGTACATCTCGTATCAACTGTAAACGAAAAGTGTGCTTTTTTTAAATTAACGCGTTATTATCTAATGAAAGAAGGAAAAGAAAAAGAAAAATTGAATGGAATTTATTCACTTGTCGTTTCAAAATTTATTTTAATTATCTTATCGAAAAATTTTTATTTATCATCTATAGGTATTGATGTAAAATGAAAAAGTAGAACAGTTCTAACATAAAAATTTACCTACTCAGATTTTATCCAAAATGAAGGTTCTTAGAAATACTTAAAGTAATAAAGTAATAAAAAATGAACGTTCACATGTGAGAAAAGTGAGAAAAAGTTGCAAAGTATAAATTTTCAAACAATGAAAGTAATAACGTACCACTGATATTAAAAGTCCTAAAAAACCAGTAATTGCTGAGAAGAATAATGTACTGGGTGCGGTACAACCTAAAGAAATCACTATCAGTAGCCCGCTAAGTGGATTATTTACAAGTACTACCTGTAAATTTATACAACCATGTGAATATTTTTTCCCATCAGCTATTACGTTTGTAGATTTTAAGATTCTAAGGGTGATCGTGGAAAATTAGCAATTATCTCTGTGTTCTACTTTTGTATTTGATTGAAAACTTTTTTATTATTTGAACATTTAATTTTTACACTATACATTAATTAATAAGTTAAATTTTTTCGTAAATGTACCTACTGTTAATAACATGTAACATCTTGGTGTGATACAATTTACAGAATATTAGGAAAAGTTTACGATTCGTTAAATTAAATAAATATATTTAACAAACGTAAATTGAAAAATCTATATTGTCGAAAAAAATAGGTGATTTTTCGTTTTGATAACGCAATTCGTTCGCATGTTTTACTCGAGGAATTCGATTTAAGGACCATTTGGTGCCATCTACAGCGTATTAGAAGTTTCTAATCAATGCATTACTATTCTGCATCGGTAAATGATATTTGCACACTGCAATAGCAAATAAAAAGTTACTGTAATTTTACTCGAGAAAAGAAAGGCATTTTCGACAAAGTAACAGCTCTTTAAAACACACGTGCTAAACGTGTATGGAAATAGCCGAAGGACATTTGAATCATCTTTTGTAAATAGCGAAAAGACTGTGCTGAGATAAAATTAATCTTCCAGCCATATATGTTGAACGATACAAGAAAACCGGTTGTGTTACTCAAATAGTAAATTACTTTCATGACCGATGATATGGATTTTTCGACGTTTTTTAATAAGAATTTTTTACTTCAGTTTGTGAATATTATACGCCCCCAAAATAGGTAACCTTTTTTTAACACCCTGTATATAGAGGGAGTCGGTTCAAATTTTTCCAATAACATATCAGTAAGTAAATTCTGTTTTGATTTTCATGGAGAGAATTAAACAGAGATAATTATAAAATGAATATTTCAGTAATGGGTAATAATCGTAATAAATAATCAAATATATTTAATAACTTACTTGACTGAAACCTCGTAGTAAAAAATCGAATAATCGTACTACACTCCAGAAGATGTTTTCTTTTTCCAGTAAAAAATCTTGCAAAATGGCAAAATTTCCAGTAAAAACTGGGCGTGAATAACCCTGCGTTATACACTATATTTGTAGATATATTTTAAATATAAAGAAGATTAATTTTAGAAATTCGTGGTATGTAGATCAGTTTTATCTTATTTAGTAAAATTTTCCTTAAAATCCTTTACAAGCAGAGTGCTCGATTTTTATTAGACATGAATGATGTCTAATATTTATATTTCTTAAATTAATTTCAAATACTTACGTTGCCCGTTGACTTTTTTAAACGTTCTGTCATGGCCATTGAAGAATCACATAAAACTACAGTTTCTTGTTAGAAGCAAATTCTTGTACACACTGTTCAAATTCTCCTATCTTTTATAACTCAAATTACTGATAAAGAGCCACATATTCCACTTTATCAAGATTTCATTCTTACAACAATAATATTAATATGCATAATTACAATTAAGTATAAAATAATGGTCAAATGTTAATTATTTTCTATTACTTTCAAGTGCTTGGAACTAATTTACTCACTTCAAAATGTTTATTTCATCTATTTTTACTTTCAGCGAATGTTAATTCACTGAAGTACAACATACTTAACACAAGACACGCATTTATTAACGTGTATGTTGCTAAAGGAATGTTAAACTGTTACAATTTAGCACTTCTAGCAGTGATGAAAGAGTAAATAAAACAAATACACACTGTCCGGTAATACAAATATATATTTTAAAACAAATTACAAAATTGTAAAGAAAATAATTTTATACAGCACACAAAGGTAACGTTTGACTTTATTACGTAAAAAAAATAATTACAAAAATTAATGTTCGCGTGAAAAAATTAATTACAATAGCTGTGATAAATTAATTTATTAACGTTCATATTCAATTATAAAAATTTAGACGTCAACAATGTAATTAGGATGCACAACAAGCAAAGGATCATCATCTTCTTTGTCTACTTTATCTTTGCTTTTCAGATCCCTTGTACTTAAAGGTATGATGATTTGATCCTGGAACGCGATTTAAAAATGTCGCACACAATTACATTGAATTATTAATAATAAAGTTTAAATAATTTTAAGCAACTATTTTAATACTTACGTGATATGTCAATCTATCGATAATCTTTTCAATAAAATTTTTTCTTTCCAACAGTTCTTCTTCTGAATAAAAGTATTATAAGTAAAATTCCCGTACCCTCAGTTTCCGCGCGAATTTCTTCTTTTCTCATATACAACACCAACATATTCGATAAATTCTTGTATTCTTCGAAGGACATTGTTAGTTTCTTTTTGTGTACTTCTTGCGTTTCTGCAGCTATAATATACAAAAAAGAAAAGTACAAGGATAATTTTATTTAATATAAGAAATTAACTATACATAAATAGAAAAAATAATTTACAAGTAGAAGTCTCTCCTTCTTTATCAGTATCCAAAGCATTGAGAGCAGCCATGAGCGGCGGAGCTTCATCCATATCGATATCCATATTAGCATCTTCAGCTTCTTCTAAATCTATATCCGGCTGTTCCACAGTAACAATACTTTTGCTTAGCAAACGTTTCGCTTCTTTAACATGCTTTACAGTGACTTCATCTGAACATTCTAATTTAGCCATAGCTTCTGATAATCTGATGAGACTTTCTAGTTGCCTAACGGTAACTCTCCACTTGCCAGAACCACTGCCAGTTCTTTGTCTTAGTGTAGTATAACTATCAACTAGAAACTCTGATGCTTCCTGTAAAACTTGATGAATCAATTTAATTAATTCAATTGACTTATATTTAAAAAAAATATAATAATACCTGACTTAGTATTGGTTTAAAATGTTTGGCAAAATTAATATATCTAACAATCTCTGTCTGTGTGTATACTGCTTCAAAGTCTTGCACATTGTCACAATGTAAATCAATAATTCTTTTAGCGATCGCATTATCAATAATTTCGTTACATTCGTCAACTATGATAAAAAATAAATCAAATCTGGACATAATAGGAGCTGTTAAGTGAACGTTCTGTTGTAAAGATTTTTTCCTATCGTACCGCCCACCAATTGGATTTGCCGCCGCTAATATTGATGTTCGAGCGTTTAGAGTTGCTCTTACGCCAGCCTGAAAGTATAATTTTTTAATAATAATACGTAAAATAAAAATGTATTGTTAAATATCGTTCCATGTTAAAAAACCTTGGCTATTGAAATTGTTTGCTGTTCCATAGCTTCGTGTATAGCAACTTGATCTCTGGGATCCATTTTGTCAAATTCATCGATACAACAAATACCTTGATCAGCAAGCATTAAAGCACCAGCTTCAATAACAAAATCGGGCGATTCTTCATCTCTTACTACAGCAGCAGTTAAACCAGCTGCAGAAGATGCTTTTCCCGATGTATAAATTGCTCTTGGTGTAATTTCACTAACACATTTTAGTAATTGAGATTTTGCTGTACTAGGATCACCAACAATACAACAATTTATATCCCCCCTTAAAGAAGTACCCTCCAATGTTGTTTTTCCAACACCACCAAACATCATTAAAGTAACCCCCTTTTTTACTTCATCATTACCGTGTATTGCAGAAAATAAACTGTTAACAAGATTCTGATATAAATTTTTATCACGACTCATTTCATATATACGGTTCCATTCCGCTTCTGTCATTCGTTTTTTCATCATTTCTTGAGAAATTTCTTCCATATTTGTTTCAGTGCCACCAAACTATATAAACATTAAATGCATAAAATAAACATATGCTTGAGTACTTAGTTTGAGTAATCAGAATAACTAATAATTTATCATACTCTGAAGCTTGTTGGAGTAACACTGCATGCCAGAAATGCAGTTTTGTATGTTAATTCACGCAATCCTAAAGCTTTCAATCCTGTTACACCTTCTCCTTGTTCTGTAGGTTTCGAACGCTTTGCTTTTAAATCAAATTTTGCACCAGGAGCTGAAAGAACCCCTACATCTGGAACTACTATTAAAGTTCCTGTAAAATCGTATCTAAAAAATACGAAGAAAATTTATCAAAATTTCAAAAAATGCATCATATTACATAATTTCTTTTAATAAGGTACCTATCACCAGCTTGAATAGTTTCAACTGCTTCAGCTCGTAAGATTATTTCCAGTGAACGAGGAATACAGCCCCTAGGAAGTTCTGCTTGTGTTTCCTGTACCCTAATTTTTTGGAAATCCACAAATACAGAATTATCCACATCAAGCATGAAACGCCTTCTGTTATTGCATACTGGATTATGACAAATTGTTGGATTTGTGAACTATAAATAATTATATAACTATAATAATTCTGTAATAAATACATTCACATCAATGAAAATATCTATACTATACTTTAAACTGCTGTTCCACATTTTTTATGACAGTATTACAATCCATACAGATAAATGTTCCTAACACCAATTCTGGATGAACAGGATGTGTTCGTATTACTTGTCCAGATATACGTATCAGTGTACCAAATTTTGCAGCATTTAATTCTCTTAATTTTTGTCTGGTCGGTACTTCGACAAAACTCACATAACATTCTTTTTCTTTTCTTAAATCTGTTTCATCTTTCACAAAATTACAAACTGCTTGACATAGGTATGGATAAACTCTAAAAAAATATAGGTCATTAAACAAACATAAAAGGCAGAATTAACTTTAAAACAATAACTATTTTTTACATATTATAAAGGAATAATATTCCACAAATTTACCTGTAATACTCCTCAACAATAGTTGTAGAAAGTACTTGATTGTATTCATCCACATCGTCAAAAACAACTTCTAATGTACTGTGTTCTGGACTTACCAGTTCTTTAGCTAGTTCAAGATACTTAACAATTCCATCTTCTTTAAATCTTAATAACAAAAACAAATATAATCAATTTAAAACTCTGAAAAAAAAAAATGAAAATTGTAACTATAATTATTTTGTAATAAATTGAAATATTTACTCTTCCAAGAAGTCCTGAAATAGTTTTTGACATTTAATTCCAATTTCATCAGGTACACGTGTTCGACTATTTTGTGCATTAGCAACATCCATCTTTTAAAATAATTAAAAACAATCACTTTGTGTGTACAGAATTGTAACAAACTAATTATCAACAATGAAATAACGCGCTAGAATAATTTGGCGGGAATTAAGTTTAAGCGTGTTTTCAAAGTTTACACTTTATCGATGTTTTAATGAAACGTTAAATTAAATGTTATACTTTGCGTAGTATTTTCGGAATATGTTAATTTATAAAGAATACTGTATTACTTTTAATTCTTTATTGTACTGTCAATATTAGGACGTCCACGTTCCGCAACTCATGCGAACCAACCATGGGGTCCACACTCTGCGATTCCCATGGGAATCCACCTTCTCTAGTTTGAACACACTTACGCATATTCATAACGAACTAAATGTAACCACAATCATAATTTTACTTTATATTTAAATAAGCTTGTACTTATTTTAACATAGGGTAAGGACCTTAGCGTATTTTTAAATTGTAATTTGTATAATAAAGTGATCGACGTAGTGCATGCGCGCGCCACTGCGCGGGTAAATCCCCGGTAACGCGGAGAAAGCTCAAACGTTATTCTCTTGTTCACTAATCGTCCTTTGATTGTGTTTCCGTTATACGAGATGGTTTACGTACGTTTTTATATTGTTACTCGGGTTCTAACTCTTAGATAATTCACAGGATTCGACTTCCGTGAATGTTCTAACTGTGTTCCAAATCTACAGTAGTGAACAGAAAAATTGAACTCTATTTGTGTCAAATGTTGGATACTAGGCTCATGTCGTTCGTAAAAAACCGTGTATCAATGAAGCTAATAAAAAGAAACGAATAGAATGTGTGAAAGAATTTTCCAATAAAACTATCGAATTTTGTGAAACCTCCAACCAACAGTGAAGTATGAGACTGGTAGTGTGTATGGGGATGTACGTCTTTATCTCTGAGTGTTAAAGTCTAAATCTTTAAACTCTGAATCCGCGAACCTTGTTAATTATTAAGCATTAACCTACGTGTTGTGTTCGATGTGTAATTCACATCGAAAAGGCAGTTCGTGGTAGTGTGTATGGGGATGTACGTCTTTATCTCTGAGTGTTAAAGTCTAAATCTTTAAACTCTAAATCCGCGAACCTTGTTAATTATTAAGCATTAACCTACGTGTTGTGTTCGATGTGTATAATTCACATCGAAAAGGCAGTTCACCACATCGATGCTATCTTTCTCATCGACAATGCTGCGACTTTACCTTCTACGTTGCAGCCGGTACGTTATCGGCGATTGGTATTCTAATGACTTGCACTTAAGGAAAACAGCAGAAGGTAAAAGTTTTAATATATTTGCTCGTTTCGTACAGAGAAACCATCGCGAAATTGGTCAGTTATCAGACGCATACGTACAAGCTGCTACGTAGCAAAATAGTTTCTGACTTTGTGCGTTCACGCCCCGTGGCATGGATCACGTAGTTATAGAGTTCTCCTAGTTACACATATTTTTTATAGATGTAACAATATTAAAAAAATTTAAACAACAATGCCAAAGTCATCAAATAAAGTGTTCGAAATGATACCATTGGTACAGCCCATTGATGCGGCAAATTAGCAAACATTTTGGAATTTTTTCCTAGTGACTTTATCAACACCATACCGTTACATAGCGCACTCTATGACACGATACGAACAGTTTTCGGTCTAATTACGCAACAGTCCTTATTTTTTTCTTACCTTTACAATAGCGTACTTTCTAAATTCAATTACATTATTATAATGAAAAATCACAAATCACCTTATGTATTATTAAAACAGCAAACGATAAATATTAGTATAAACTTATGTTTTACGAAAACGAAAAGAATTTTTTGCAACATTTAAAATGTATCTATTCTCTTAGAATATGATGTAACTCTATCAAAGACAAATATTACATATTCGCAGTTATTACATTTAAGGCAATGTCCATTAATTTTTTGATAACATATACATTAGAGGTTCCTATTTCACGTTTATTAACGCATTATAATTCGTGTAATTTTTAGTATACGAATACACATGCATTTCGAGATCTCTATTTCACGTATATTTATCTCTCTTTTATCTCTGTTTCCGTTGTATTATGTCGAAATTCGTTATTGTTATCTGCAACCTGACAATTTGAAAAGCCATATTTGGTTTCCGCATATTACTCGGGTGAATATGCATAAATTCTCGAGTATCCGTGCATTGTATTAAAAATGACGGAAATTAAAATAGAAACACGTATTTAAATACACGTAAAATAGAAATCTGGGAATACGCGGGTACCCGTGTACCAAAAATGACACGAAATAAAATACGTTAATACACGCGTACCGATACGTCGGCGCCTATAGGCGCTCTGAAAATTTTCTCGCACTGTGACCTTGGCGTCTATAGGCGTTTTGAATATTTTCTCGCATTCTGCTATTAAGGCAACTTTTGGCACATTTTCACCTTAATTTAATACTTAATTTTCGCTCTTCGCGCATTTCCACCTTAATTCAATAAAATGATAAATTTCAAAATGTAAAAAAATTTCGTTTAAGTTCCAAAAATAGAAAAAGAAATGTACTTTGAAATTTTAAAAAAGTTTTAAATTTAATACAAACTTTAAAATACCAAAACAGAATTTTTCTCAAAGGAAGTAACTTGCTAAGTAACGATGCAGGTTTTAAAAAAATGTTGCACGATGTTCTATCGAAGGGCAAATCTAGATATCCCCGCAGAAAAAGGAAAAGAGAAAGTAGAGAAATCTTTCAGTATGTAGATTGATACTTATTTACACGATGTATACATATCCTGCGACCGACAAGACTTTGCTCTTAGAGCAGGTACTGTTGTAGGATATAAAAAGAACGCAAAGTGCGTGCTGCCGCTTTAGTCCCTTCAAAAATCCTCAAGAATAATGGTCGGTGTTGCTGGTATTGTGTTTTATTTGGTAAAATCATATTTTTTCACATTATTTTCACCACTATCTCGAGCATTATTAGCTCCGCGTTGCAATTAATCTTCAAGCAATATCTAAAGTGTGTGAAATGCACGAAAAATTAGCAAAAATAAATTGACTGTAACATTTTCTGACGTTACATTCACTTCAAATTAATTCTTTTCAAAGTGAACGGTAATAAAATAAATTTTTTCAAACTACGTATGTAATTTATAATATTAAAAAAAAACACACACACATTATGGACCTGCTAAGTTTGTACAGTCTATTAAATTCACTGCTAAAAAAAAAAACGAAGGGTGGTAGTATCGTTAAAAATAAAAAATAAAAATAAAAGTGTAAAAAGCGCGGGAAATGCAAGAATAATAATTTAGAACAAAGACGAAATGTGAAAATTATTGAATACAGGTAGTGTTTGCCCGTCTCGCCAATGGTGTACTAAGGACAGACGTATATAGAGATTTCCAACCAGTGATAAGTACACAGCCTCCACTTGGTTACCTTCCAACTACAAATGTAGCATTTTCCAAACTTTCACAACATGCTGCTCTGGCTAACCAAGCTTTGGACAATGACTTCAAAGATGTGGGAGCCTCAGGTAGTGGAGGCTTTGCAGAAAGGCAAACACAACCAGGGTATTTATACCTGAAACCACTATTGATCGACCTGAAGTTGCCCTCCAAAAATCAGACGATTAAATCAGTAATCGATAAGCAGAGGTAAGAATCCACGTTTGAAGCGCCCAATTGAGAAAACATTTCGAATGTTTCGTTACTGTTAATTTTTACAGTCAGATCTTTCAGATAGTCAGATATATGCAAAATTAAAATTCCTGTGGAAATGTCCTAATCGATCAAATTTCAATTATTCAGTTTCGACTGAAAGGAGAAATAACAGTTTTTTAAATTAACACAGCAGAAATGTAAATTTCGTTGTCCGCTTATAGTCCATCCTAATTGCCTAAATTTCAATTATTCATTTTCGACTAAAACGAGGAATGACAGTTTTCCAAATTAATGTTAATTCAATCTGAGTAAATTAAAAGGAACAGAATGCAAAAATTGAAACCAAAACGCTGTTGCATTACTGTTTTTATAAATCTTTTCTTGCTTAATTTAAAAAACCTGTGACTAAAATAATGTCAGACCGAATCTGGGACCAAACGGGCAAAAAAAGATTCCGTCAATTCGGTTGATAAATTTTATCACACCCACCGCATTCTCCAGCCCATATTCTTGCCCCATCCGGCTACCTTACGCAGTTTTGCCTTGCAACCACAGCTGCACCGGTTGATATCGCGAATTTGTATTTGAAGATTTCCGAAGGAGGTGCAAAGTGTTGATGAAACAGCGACAAGGAGGCCAAGCGGGAACGCGAGACACCGAGACGAGATCGAATATCATCCCCGTGTTTCTCAACGATCGTCGTATCAAGTTGTAGAAACGCAGGACGAATACCTAACAGACAATTCGCGTCGTGCAACACCACGTTATCGTGGGAAGGTAGAGACAAGGAATCCCAGTCATAATTCGCAAGATATAACGACGGCCATCAAAGCCCTCGACCACTTCCTGAGCAGGGTTCTAAACGATGATGGTTATAACAGCGAGGTACACCCACCGTCCAATCCTGCTTTAGCCCTCGTCCTGTCTCGATACGGGCGATACGTGCCTGGAGCACGAAACCCGAGGGTCTATGCACATATGGCCGTAAACAATATACACAACAACAAACCTTTCGGTAGTTATAAGCTGGAATGTGAAGAGCTGCCTACCTATGTCCGCAGGTAATACCGATCGACAGTCTGTTTAGGCTAACCTCTTGCCGTGTAACGACGACGAGTCACAGAAAGATTTGTATTTTTCCTGTTACTTCAGCCTCAATATAGGACTGGCGTACAAATTGTATGCAATATTTTCAGCATTTTTTATTTAACACGTTTGCTACCAGCGTTACATATGTGTGACGCACCAATTCTCACGATAGAACGGTATTATCTATATGTAATGTGTAACGAAAAGTGCTCAGTTTGGGTACTTAATAAATATTAGCTGTGTATAGGCGCAGGTATCTGTCGTAT